CGCATTGAGCATCTTTTAGAAAATGGAAATGCGCAGTATAAATGCTATTTATTATTAATATTATTATTATTATTATCTATGTCTATTGGTGACTTACGTTTCCAGCTATACCAAAGTGAAATTGGACTGATTGCAGATCTCAGCTTCAGATTTCTTCCCGATTTCAACAGTAACATTTTCGAGAAAGGATTTTTATAATAGTATTGGTAAGTGGTCACCTTTTATAATAATAATAATAGATCGAAGCAAAATAATAATCATCATTATTTTAATAAAATTAACCCCCCCCCCCCCTCCCATTAAAAAAAAAAACAAATTATTGTAAGTACGCATGCATAGTTGTTCACTCACGGGTGGATGTTGATCAAGTCAATGTTTGGCACATGAATCAACATTCAAACTGAAAGAAGCTGATCGGAATGCAAAAAATAGATTTATTTTACAGTGCGTATGTAGCCTACAGCGTGTTAAAAAAAGAGCCACTTAAAAGACAATAACTCGGCCATTTCTGCACTATTTTCAACACGATTTTGAAACAATAAAATTCAACTAGAGGGGCGTCAAATATATGAATAAATGAATTTGAAGAAAATCAATCAAAGAGTGTTCGAGGAATATATCAAGTTTTTAAATTTTTCAACCAAAATTCGGGCAAACTTGTACATTGTCATACTTCTTAAATGCATTCAGCCACTGCGGGGTTGATCAGGAGGAGATGACAAAACCACGACGTGCAGTCACATCACATAGATAGCTCAGCCTACTGATAAGGTTTAGGAGAAGTTTGGGGAGGAGAAGGTAGCCTACATACTTCATGTATTATGCTTTGTTTGTTTTGTCTCAGTAGGGAGGAAACGCACATCGACTTAATAATGGTCGTTTAGTGCTGGGAAAAAGTAAGACAGACAGATAGAAAGAAAGGGGGGAAAATATAGAAGTAGGACAACATCCTCCAACAACCCGCATGTATTCTGCTGTTAATTAAGGAGGCCGGATCCAGAGCAGAGTGGTATGGGGCCACACCCCACACATCGAGAGTGGCCCTTGGACTTGTATGGTTGCAAGAAACGTTCGGGGAACGCCTTATAAGCCGAAAGCTTACAAAATAATGAATGGCCACTGCATTCCCCCGACTTGATTCCCTTCAGTTGCATGTATTACCTCTGGGGCTTTTTGATTGACAGAGTCCACGGATACAACTCATAAACCCCCAAACAAAACGCAGTCAAAGAGTTGAAACTCAATATTTAACAAAGTCCAAAAAACCGACCCAGAAAGATACCATAGAGTAATTCAAAATGCCCAGTGGCGTTGGAACTGGTGTGAAAATAGAAATGGTCAACCCCTGGAGCACACAATGAACCAGAGTTTTCAATCTTATATAAAGTTATTCTTTAACGACAAAATACTTCAAGTAGTGACTATTTGAAGTAGAAAAATATAGTCTAGTTGTTTTTTACGAAGCTACTATTACGTTTTGCATTTCATTCGATTTTGGTTAAAATTTTAAAAAACTTAATAAAAGTTAATACATAGGTTGATGTTCTTCGAAATTGACAAATGTGATGTCCCTATGATTGAATCTTTTTTGTTCGAAGTTTTATTGAAATTGGTCCAAAGATGGCCGAGTTACGGTATTGCCCTATAAATGAAGTCCTTTTTAATGGTATTTATGTACGTGCATGTGTATGCACGCGTCTGTGTGTGTTAGTGTGTGTGTGAGTGTGTGCGCATGTGTGCGTGGGAGAAGAGAGACAGAGAGAAAGAGAGAGAGGGGGAGAGAAGAGAGAGAGAGAGAGAGAGAGAGAGAGAGAGAGAGAGAGAAAGAGAGAGAGAGAGAGAGAGAGAGAGAGAGAGAGAGAGAGAGAGAGAGAGAGATTAACGAAACAATGTAAGTAAGGTGGGGCTAAGAATATTTTTAAGCATTTTTCCATTAAAGTGATTTAGCTTTTCCCCGTACCCACCTCACTCTCTTATCATGTCTTTTAGTAATTTCAAATTAGCTATTATTGTATGGAAGGAAAAAAAACAACAACAAAAAAACGAAATCCCAACTATAGCAGTGACAGTGTTTCGGCCATGAATACTTCACGCCAGGCAGCGGGGATTCCCGAGGCGGAACTGCCATTACGTAATTACACGTCAACGCTAAATATATAAAAGCTAACCAATATAAAAGGCGCGTGAAAATTGAAATCGTTGAGTACCGTATAATAATAAAATTATACATGTATCTAGATCTATTGGTGACATACGTTTCCAGCTATACCAAAGTGCAGTAACATTTTCGAGAAAGGATTTTTATAATAACATTGGTAAGTGGTCACTTTTTTCATAAGAGTAATAAGTAGACAAATATCATGTTCATTATTTTAATGAAATTACTGCCCCCCCCCCCCCCCCCCACACACACACACACAAATTAAAAAATATATATTGTATGTACGCAGGCACAGTTGTTCACCCGTTGGTGGATGTCGATCAAGTCAATGTTCGGCAAAAGAATCAACATTCAAACTGAGACAAGCTGAACAGAATGCATAGAATAGATTTATTCTACTACGTGTATGCATGTACAGGGTGTCTAAAAAAGGGGCCACTTAAAAGACAATAACTCGGTCATCTCTGCACTATTTTTCACAAGACATTGAATAAATAAAGTTCAACTAGAGGAGCGTTAAATGTATGAATAAATGAATTTGAAGAAAATCAATCAAAAAGTGTTCGAGGAATATATCAAGTTTTTAAATTGTTCAACCAAAATTCGGGCAGACTTGTACATTGTCATACTTCTTAAATGCATTCAGCCACTGCGGGGTTGATCAGGAGGAGATGACAAAACCACGACGTGCAGTCACATCACATAGATAGCTCAGCCTACTGATAAGGTTTAGGAGAAGTTTGGGGAGGAGAAGGTAGCCTACATAGGCCTACTTCATGTATTATGCTTTGTTTGTTTTGTCTTAGTAGGGAGGAAAAGCACATCGACACAATAGTGGTCGTTTAGAGCTGGGGAAAAGTAAGACAGACAGATAGAAACAAAGGGGGAAAATATAGAAGTAGGACAACATCCTCCAACAACCCGCATGTATTCTGCTGTTAATTAGGGAGGCCGGATCCAGAGCAGAGTGGTATGGGGCCACACCCCACACATCAAGAGTGGCCCTTGGACTTGTATGGTTGCAGGAAACGTTCGGGGAACGCCTTATAAGCCGAAAGCTCACAAAATAATGAATGGCCACTGCATTCCCCCGACTTGATTCCCTTCAGTTGCATGTATTACCTCTGGGGTTTTTTGATTGACAGAGTCCACGGATACAACTCATAAACCCCCAAACAAAACGCAATCAAAGAGTTGAAACTCAATATTTAACAAAGTCCAAAAAACCGACCCAGAAAGATACCATAGAGTAATTCAAAATGCCCAGTGGCGTTGGAACTGGTGTGAAAATAGAAATGGTCAACCCCTGGAGCACACAATGAACCAGAGTTTTCAATCTTATATAAAGTTATTCTTTAACGACAAAATACTTCAAGTAGTGACTATTTGAAGTTGAAAAATATAGTTGTTTTTTTACGAAGCTGCAATAAAGTTTTGCATTTCATTCAATTTTGGTTGACATTTTTAAAACTTAATAAAAGTTAATACACACAATTTCTTTGTGTGTAACACAAAAATGGAGAAATTTGTACCTACCAGTGACGGAGAGATTTCTACGTCCCGATAATTTCTCTTTGTGCGTGCTAGACTGTACATGTTATAAAGGAATGTACGTTTGTTCATAGTAAACTGTAAAGATTTCTTTTTAAAACAGTAGACACCTCTGATCTGCACTCTGCATTTTATAATAGCAAAATAGCGTAACACATATTATTATTCTTTCCCCCAGGTAGCCTAGCTGACGAGATGTCTTTTAACAACACTGAACAAATAGGAAGCACTTGGTCCCTGGACAGTGGGCTTCCCATATCAAGAGAAAACTCCCCATGTCTTCAGCACAGTCGCCACCCCCAGCAGCCTCTCATCATTGAGGCGGGAATACTGCCTGTAGGCAACCACATCTCAGACGCAGTGGTTGCAACTTTTGAAGGAGAGGAAAACAGACAATCTCAGCACAAGTGGCTGATTGAAAATGGCCAGCGTATTGGCAGCGTCACTGTACAAGCCTTACACTTACAGACACCTGACAACGGACAAAGACCACTATGCAACGGACACGGTTTACCTATAAGCCCGCCCGATCCAAAGTTTAAAATCGTTGTGAAGAATTTGGCGGGCAAGTCATTCAAACCATGGGTTAAGTCGACAGATACCGTTCTGCATCTGAAGGAACTCGCAAACCAGCAGTGGGGAATTGATAGGGACCAACAGATACATGTACAACTTGTCTATGGAGGACATAAATTGGAGGACGACAAGACACTTGGATACTATGATATGAGGGACACTGACGGCGAAGTGCAACTGATAACAAGACTGAGAGGCGGATAAATGCCCATTCATTTTGGTCACCTGCCTCAACTATGCTTATTGTGTGAAAGACCTTTCTTATCCAGGCAATCACATTATATTAAAAATGTCTCCTGAAAATAATTTACTAATCTCGTTTGCTTGCTTTCAGTCTGGAGCAAATACATTTGTAATACTGTATGTCGGGCCTGGGTTCAAAACTATCGTAACTCGATTTACGAGAGTTCTGTTGCCAAAATAATCACTGATCTAATAGTGTAATTAAGAGTAGGCCTACCATCCAAAATGAAAGAGATACAATTTCAAAACATGCATCAACAAATCCGGCGTGTTTTTCAAAATGTAATATGGAATCATCTGTGTGAAGAGAAAATCAGTTCTCTGCTTCTGAAAAGTTTTAAGATATGGTACGCTAGCTTTGAATCCCAGACCTGATGCTAGACATGGAACCACTAAGGGAGAAGTTGAAGGAGGGAGGGGCAAGTGAGGCCCTAATTTCAACTACAAAGACATAAATCCTCCCAGAAGCAAAGGTAATGAACTAACAATTTTAGCAAAACAGAAGTAGGCCTACATTTATGCAAATCAACTTCTAAACATACATGTACTAAAACTATGGTTCAATTGCTGATTGCTGACGAGGTGCCCTTTCAAAACGAAAACAGGCTCCTTTTCAACATTTTAAGTCTGCAATATATGTAGTTGCTGTTTCAACAATAACGCACAAGAACGCTATCATATCCACAAATGGGCCTTTTTTGGTAGAAAAGACCTACTTTATCAACAGCAAAAACAGAATGTTTAGCTAAAAGTGGAAATGCACACATTTTTCTGCACCTTGGAGTCTGTCAATCAGTAACGAGGCCACTGCAGTAACCAAAATCTGGATGGTTTTCTTGCTACAGTCAAACTCGGAAGTAACAGGGCAGGTGAGATCGGCAGTTTTCTCCTGTCTGTTATAAGCAAGTTTTGTTATAATCGTTATCAACGGAAACTACCAGCACTACTAGTACCATTGCACCATCAGCTTACTACATGTACTATTATATTCGATTACCACAGATCCTTTTCCAGTGGGCTGTTTTGCTGACACAAAGACGGAATCGACCAGTGACCCCAACCAAAGTTATGTACATGTACAATGTACTATCTTTGCCCCAACACTATTGGGGGGGGGGGGTTGTATGTGTTTGAAAGTTTTCGTTAAGTACAGTTTAGGAAAGCGATCAAACAAACAGGTGAAATGTCTTGGTTGAGACAAATTGTAATAATTTTACGGATCAAAAGCAAGTTCATGCGTTGCAAGATCACTGTGTTTATATCCGAGCCTGCGCAAAATGAACCCTGTTATAGCCAGGTTCATATTATTACTTACACTTACTTATACTTATAGAGAGAAAAAAGCTGCCGATTTGATTTATCACAGTTATTATCCAAGTTCCTGTAATAACAGAGGCTGTTATAAATGGACTGGACTGTAAATGATATTACTTCTGTCAGTGGTCAGAGAGACACTTCGCTACTGCGATAGCAGCGAATTCAAAGCATTATGGACTTTGTCATTTGCTTTGATTCAAACGGTACATATGTGTATGTGCCTGGAGAAAGGCCCCAGTTGTCGGCGAAGCTTTTTGAATAATAAAAACTAGTAGCCTACTATCTGAAAACTCACGTTTAATAATTTCTTAACAACATATAGAAAGGATTTTATATTTTAAGTATTTTTGCAAAAAGTACAGTGAACTCGGATTCAGCGAATTCGTGGGGCCTGACCTTCAATTTTGTTCTACTGTAACTGTATTGATCAGTAACCGGTGTGTGTGTGTGGGGGGGGGGGGGGGAGGATGACAAACACGTCTGTGTATCAGTATCTCTACCGGCGTTCCACGCCCGGACCGCTTGTGCCCCCCTCCCCCACGACACATGTACACACGGGAGCAAATAAAATCAGTGGAAAAGAAAGATAAAATAATAAAGTATGGTACTGGTACGGTAGAGGGTAATCTAGATCTTCGAACAAAATTAATAAAAACAACCCCCATTTGTTTATCATAAATTAGTGTATGTAAACTAGATCCCTGTCTTTAATATATATAATAACAGGAACATCTCGTTGGTTGTTACAGCCAGCGCCCCACTGTAACTGTGTTGTGTTTATCCTCAGTATAGGCCTACGTGTTGAAACACTGAACTAATGTGCCAGGACCTGGACAGTAAAGATTTACCTTTCTTATCTTAACCTTTGTCACTGCACCCTACGAATTTGTCACTGCATCGTATGAATTTAAAGCTCCTATTCACACTTAATGAAGTTAATGAGGCATGACAAAGGAATTAAAAATTTATCTCTAACAGGAAAGAGCCAAGAGTCCAATGAACCTTTAGATTTCATAATTAAACAATACAAGGACACCAAGTGGGTGGTTGGTGGGTACTCTGATGTGGTTTGCTCCTTCTTTCCTATCAATCATCTATCTAGACCTGCATGTGAGCCTCAACCAGATTGTCTGAAAATTTTGCGCAACCCCCCCCCCCCCCAAAAAAAAAAGCCTTAGTGGGTGTCATAAGGAAGGACATCCGAGTAACGAGCGACCACCCCAACAAACACAATAAAGAAGAGACCTAACCCTAACCCTACCCAAAAAAGTACTAAATGAAAAAAAAAATTTAATTAAAAAACCACACTCCAAAACAAACAAGGAGCATATAGATTCTAGATCTAGATCTAGATCTAAATTTTATCTATATGGCTTACATCTACATTGCTATAGGGTTTGATACAATAACACAATAGAATTGGAATATGAATCCTCCATATAGACTATAGATCTAGATCTAGATATCTAGATCTACTAGACTAGTAATCTAAAAAATAAATCTAGATCTAGATCTAGATATAGAAAAATCTAGATCTAGATCTAGATCCTGAAGAACAAGTGAATAGGAATAGATTCTAGGCTTTGAACTAGAAATCCGCATCCGATTCCGAACAGAGGGACTCAGCTGAGTCTAGATTCTAGATCTAGATCTAGCTAGATCTAGATCTATATCTAGATATCTAACTAGATATCTAGATCTAGAATCTAGACTATAGATCTAAATATAATAATAATAATAAATAATTCACGCACCTGATGAAATGCTTATTTTTACCAATATTAATATTACAGCACAACCTATGATAGGGTTTGACACAATAGAATTGGATTATGAATCCTCCATTGAGGTCTATAATGATCTCTATATAAATCTAGATCTAGATTCTATTAGAACAAGAGAGTCGGACTTGAATGAACCCACACGATCTGAACAATTTAATTAGTCAACAAACGAAATTGAAAATGGCCGCTCGAGCACGAAACTGAAAGTAGATAATTTAAGTTGTCGTCCTTTTTCGTATTCGCATTTCTACTTAGGTTCCGACAATTATGTCGGAAACGCCGACGTCGGCAGTCGGCGGTGTGCGCGTCGACGGTCGGCACGAAAACGAAAGTGCCGACGAAGCCGACGGGAGAAAAAGGGGTCGCTGGCAGTCGGCCAGGCCTCGCACTACGCACATTGACTGATACAGGCGGGCCTAGCGATAGCATCGGCCGGTTCGCGGGTCGGGTCGCGATTGTCGGATTTCAGACGATTGTCGGCAAACATGCAGGTCTAATCTATCTTTTTTTCTCATTTTTTGGTATTTGTTACTCCCTTGTAATCTTAAGCACTTATACGACCTACTTGTGTTGTAAGTGCCGTAAAACTTATTAAAACTGAAATTTAAACAATACAAATTGAAGAACATCCAACTGGAAATTTGAACCTGAGTCAGCTGAATTGTCACGGTCCAGCATATTTACTGATCTATCAGTAGGCCTGCAATATGCATTAAAAAATCATATTTTGTGTTTTATGCCCGTCTTCACAGTACATGTATCGGTATAGGTAATTTAGGGTGCGGGCTGCCAGTCAGGGCCAACCCAGGCTGACAGGGATACCTCTCAGCATCAGACAGACACACGCGATTAAATAAAAAAAATAAAAACCTTTCTGCACGGAAATTGAACTCATATCTGATGCATGCGATGGTGAAGTGCCGTGAAACACCAATACAACGCTACACAATACATGTCGATTTGCATACATGCTTGTGTATTTAATAATTAAAATGTAGGCCCTACATGAAGTCTGATCTCATTATCGATTCAGTGCTATTTATACAGACTACATGCTTTAACAATATGACACATAAAGAGCAAAGCAAGAATAAATAGCACTTGCGAGAATTTTGTTCTTTATTCAAAGGGCCACGTAAAATAATCAGTGTGTGCTGCAAACAACCAACAGAATTTTTTTTTTACATAATCAGACAGAGTAAAAAAATCTACAACATGCCATAAAAGTTTTTTAACTTTTAATAATAATCAATAAAAACGTTAAAAATCAGTGATAAAAAATGTCCATGCATAAATATCAAATTTGTTTCTGCTTCAACATCTGAGGAGTACGGTACAAAAACCTTCTGTAAAAGTAACTTAGGTTGTATGCAAAAAAACCCAGATATAGATCTAGGTAAGATGAGTAACAATTTAAAACTTTCAACAATTCAACAAGCTAACGAAAAAAATAGCAAGTAGTAACATCAAACATCACTTTTTGTGGTCACTGAAATACTCAACAAACCTCCTTTAAAATTATAACGACATTGGAAAATCAGTGTTATAAATAACAAAACAAGGAAATATAATTTATATAACAAAAGTAATGCTATACAATTCAAAGCTTGAAAGAATTCACTCGCCAACAAAAAAAGAACTGCAGTAGAAGCACTTCCTTTATAAAGTGGTAAAATAGAAACAAATTAGCGATCAAATCATCAGTAGTATCAGACCGCCATGAATACAAAAAACAACAGCTTGTTTGCAAGACTTTTACGTGATAAGAATTTAGTAAAATGAGTAACAATTTAAAATTTTCAACAATTCAACAAGCAAACAAAAAACAACAACGAGTAGCAACATCAAATATAATTTTCCTAGGTCTCCCTAACTGCTTGAGGTTTATAGACATTACAATTTGCTCGGGTTTCTTCCTGATCAGGGGTGTTAAACAAAAGAAAAGAGTATCATACACCAAATTGTCAGGAAATTAATGGCTTTTAATAAAACATTTGCCTACACAATAATCTAACTGATGTTATGAAATCATAAACAAGCTTGGAATTTTTCTTAATTAAAAAAAATATATTAAAAAACATGTTCGATCTCTTTTATGTACAACATTTTTCAAGGTATTACAAAGTCCATCACTCAGCATTGTCTATAATCATACAGAAAATGCAACTTCAAATTTGAGGAGAAAAGATATGATAAACAGTATACACCTTATATATATTTTTCTAGTCACACCCCTGTACGAAATGTGCCACATTCTGCGTCATTGACATGATGAATGCAATATAATGTGGAGGATATGTAGTCCTAGACAACTACAAAGCTGTAGCGGATATTTGAGGCACCAAGAATTAACTCTTCATGAAGAACATGTATTTGTGTCAAATTGCATCTGCAGTGTGTGGATCTCTACTGAGAGCAAATGAAGTTTTAAACACATGACAGACTTCCCTTGAAATTAAAAAATGTAGGAAAATTACTTAAATAAAAAAAACAAAATTGAAATATATAAATAACAAAAGTAAAGCTATACAATTCAAAACTTAAAACAATTCACAATCCAAAAATTCAAAACTAAAAACAATTCACAATGCAAACAAAGAAAGAACTGCAGTAGGAGCAATTCTTATTTAAAGTGGTAAAATAGAAACAAGTTGGCGATGTAATCTAATACGAGTATCAGACCACCATGAATAGCAAAACATCAACAGTACATAGTATTCAATGCAAGTAAAACTTCTGGTGCTCTTACAACCCACTGCACATACGCTTAGACCAATAAGAAGGTTATACATGGCACTTTTTAAATTCTCAAACGTTTTTAAACATATGTATGTGGCTATATATCACTTATCTCAGGCTGTAAAGAAGACAACAAGTAAAATAGATAAAAGTTTCCTGAAATTGAACATATCAAACACAACTAAATCATGATATATGTTTTTAAAAGTTTTTAAAATATCGCTGCCCTTGCGATAAGACCTTGTGAGTAAATCAAACAGGCGAAGAGAGCATTTGGTTTCATCATACAGAAACCTGACTGCCAGGCCAGCTGTTCGGCTTTATTTGAAACGTTTCAGGAGCATTTCTATTTAAAATTTGGATCAGTCATTTAAGGAACATCGTGGAAAGATAATTTATCATGATTCGTCTAATGAAATTTTTCATATTTTGCGGCTTAGTCGGTCTTATCGCAAAGATGACTACATAAAAGTGGCACTCATAAACCCATGTATGCGGACTTTTGTACCAGCTGCAGCTCATTCCTTGAAGGCAGTATCAGCCAGGAAATCAGGCTTCCTTGTTGCGAGTGAGACTAAGGGGTGAAAAGCCACAAAAATATCTCAGCATAAGGCTCATCTTGGCGAACACAAATTGTACCACTGCCTACATGCTCTGAAAAAAAAGGAGAAAATATAATCTGGAGATGAAAAGTTTTGCACGGTCAAGGGAATTGATTGCAGCAAGGTCATTCTATCTAGAAATTTCTTGAGTCACAACAAGATAAAAGTATCTATTAAACCTTACAAACTAAACAGTAGCATTGAAAGAGCACATGAGTAGTCAAGATCTTAAATAGATTCAAGTACTTCATGCAAATGTGTCATGACGGGGTAGAATTAGGCGCTCGTCAATTTTTGGACATGTGACGTTATTGGTATCACCTTAAAGCTTGTTCATTTGTCTTGCTTTCGATGAAAGAAAAGCCCATTTATCATGAATACAAGTCGAGATATTTGCGATTGAAGGAGGTGGGGTCGCCTGGTTTCAACAGTAAAAGTAGAGAGAAAAAAGCCACCAAAGTTTGGTTATTACATAGCCTGAGAATCTGTGGGAACTGACAATTTACATTCTTCCATTACTCAAAGCTTTTTCTGTAAAATCCACCCAGAAATGATTTCTTGAATGGCTAAAAAATAAAATTTTGATAAAAACTGCCAAACTAGCGGAAAATGCTAGTTTCTTTAATATTTCATTATTCTGACGAGAGCCTGATTTCACCACAATGCCTCACATATAAGAAGTATTTGAGCTTCTGAGCAAATGAGAATTCATCCAAGAAACTAAAGCAAAACTAAACATGGCCAATATTGTTTTGGTGTGTATGTTGAAAAAGATACGGAAATATTATGTTAAAGCCACGTCTAAAGAAATAAAGCTCGTAGCCATACGCAGCCACTACAGCCAGCAAATTAGCTGACTATAAATCAGCTCTGGAAGTATGTTAATTTGACACTTGCGTATACTCCACTCCTCTAATATATCGTCACGCTCATACGGCTAAGTCATTTTTAGCCATTTTGAGAAAATGAGAAAAAAATGTTTCTTTCGAACAATTGACTTTGAGAAATGCTTGAATTTTGGTACACTCAGTTGATTTTATGCAAAATTTGATTGTTCTTTTGTCCAAATGAACTATATTAACAAGCTGGCTCTACTATTCATTTCAGTACCAAAAACTCCAACCCAGCCAAAACAGACTTCGTCAATTATCTTATGAGCGTGACGATATATATGATATTGCGATATCCACTTTGATGCAACTTGGGGACCCTAAGTTAGGGTATACAGAAATTTTTAAAAACTTTGAGGTCTTTCCATGAGGACACAACATTGAAAAAAAGTATATTCAGGAAACAAACTTAAACCTATTTTGAGCTAAAAACCAGGCTGCAGGTGCAAAAATGCAGGAACATGACTATGGCAGGACTTTTAGTTCCAGAAGAAAAATCACGCTGCAGGCAAGTCCCCGCTATAGGAATGCAAAGGAGAATTACCGAAAAATCACAAACTACACGCTCTCCTCTTCTTTTACTGTCTTTTTGGCCTAGCCTGGGCCTAGGGCCATGGCACATCACTTTTGGAGTGGCTCACGTAACATGTCTCTCCGCACCATCTCTCTCTGCCGCCTGCCCCACCTCACTCATCACTGGACTGGCCATTCACAACACCGCACTGCTGGCTGCCTGTTTGGAGCCCACCAACAGACCTCCACCCCCTTTCCCCCCAGCTAGAGCTTGCTTGATCTCTCCTTGCCCCGTTTAACCCAAGCACAGGTAATTGAGTTTACATAATTAATAATAGAAAAAAAGGGGATTCCGGTAAGGTCCCGTTGCAACGGGTGCTGCTATACATGTAGTTATGTTCTACTGCATGAACAGGGCTCCCCATTTTCAGGCCTACTTAAGAGGTTCCTTCACCCTTTGTTTTCTATCTTTAAGGGGTGTTTAAGAAACATAAAGGGTTGTTGGTTTTTTGTTCATGTCTGACAAACTAATCCTTAATAGTCGATTATCTACTAATTTTAAAGTAAGATTTTTTGCATGTAAACATTTAACTCACACGCACATTCACACAGAGTGACCATGACAATGGTTGAATGCTAATGATTTTAATTAACTGTAAGGTTTCATTGTAACGAGAAATAAATGAGTAATATTGACTAGAATACGGTAGTGTCCACTTGGGGGTGGTAGTTGGGCCAATAAAAAAAAAATAAAGTTGAAAAACCAAAATGGGTCAATTTCGACTGCTGATGGGATTACTCCCATCCTTCTGTCAGACTAATTAGGCAAGGTTAAGGTTAGTGTAACAAATCTTTCCGTTAAATTTAAATTATTTTAATATATAAATCGTTAACTTTTTGTAGAAATGGCGGACAATTCATATTTACTTACTAGTGTTAAAGATGGATGGGGGTATTCTCACGGCAGGAGTAACTCAAGGCACGACACTGGCAAATTCGAGCAACCAGAATGCGAACGGAGCTTCTCTGCTGAAGCAAGCCGGTGTTGCCGGAAACTGCACGCAGGTGATAAGTTGATCGATTGCTTCTGACATAGACAAAAGTTGACTGCCGTGTATGTGTGCGTTGTCAAATCATTGACTCGGCCTCGGGATAAAGAAGGGGGGAAATGATGCTTGCCAGACGCACACCACCTACGTTGTAAACGTATGCAAATCCCCGAAAAGAAATTTTAAAGAGTAACGCCCATGCAACACCAAAACTTAAAGGGGGTAATCTGCAGGTTTAACGCGTAATATACGCACAACTGTGCGTTATGGGGAGCCCTAGTGAACGTATAAAAAGACACGTTACGCATTAGTTTGAAATGACAGTCAAACGTAGGAGTAGAGAGAAAAATTAAATTTTATTCTCATTAGTCCGACTTAACCACCAAGTCAAAACTGAAATACTGTAATGATTAACCTACCGCACAAATCCATGAAAACAGCAGCAGCTTTCACCCGGCTAGTAGTCTCTGTTGGACAGAGAGCTCTAAATGTTGTCCAGTCATCTCTGGACGTGATGTGGCTTTTCAACAGTCTTTGGTAAAGAAACAAAGACAAAATGTAATTTACAATTAGAAAAAAAAGACAAACTTCTTTAATTTAGGCCTATCCCAATGGGGAAATATGTGTTACAATAGCATGCATCAAAACACAATGTCAGAGACACAAAATCACTTTAAGGTTTTAATCATCTGTTATAAAATTGTCTTGAGAGAGAAGAAAAGGCTAGCAACTCCACATGAAAGATTTTCTAGCTTTAAAGAGATGAAGACTTTTTTCACATTTATTTGACTTTCAAGACAGACCTATTATAATTCCATAAATCTAAATATGGCCAAATGACATTTTTTCTCTTTCTTCAATGTAACAGCATTTCACTTACCAAAGTGAGAAAAATAACTGAAAGCTGAAGAGACCCTGTTTTCTGTGAAGACTTCAAGGAGGGTTGAAGATAGGAATGGAATCAATCACAATTCGTCTTCTCTAACATAAAAAAACAATAGTGACTCATTGCCACTTTTCAGTAGGCCATCTGCGGGTTTCCCCCATTTTTACCCAGTTTGACCATGTAATTGTTTTTCTCCATTTTTGAAACCTACATCCTTTTCCCCCTAAGTTTCAAGCGCCTGTTCCAATCAGTTGTATTTAGAAATCATGTAAAAAAGGGTTTTTAAAAATAATTTGCAATTTTGGGTCTGTTTTAAATCATTTTCTTCATCTTTTTCAAATATTTATTTTCCCGACTTCAAAATACATCTCCGTTATTGTTCATCTGAATGGCTTCATTGTTTTACACAATGTGCATCCATAGGTGACCTTTGAGCCTTTTTAAAAAGATAATAAGAAAATAAAGTTACAATCAGTGTTTTTCTTGGGAAATTCGAGGGTTTTTTTTACATTTGTCCATAGTACATATTTAGAGAGTCCATAACTATTTTCATAATAGTAATATTACAAGTCTGGCATTACTAGTTCATTACATAGGTGTTGTAGTTAGTACTTGCTAAAAATGAAAGCCAACTGACGAAAAAAAAAGAGAGAAGATAGCTTTAGAAATTTGATGAAATTATTCAATATGGCGGACGTTTGCTTGATTACCACGTGCTTATAATAATAAATAATTACTTGAATTTATTCTTTGATGACTGACCAATATCAATATATCATCGTTGCTATATTTAGTCAAGGGATATGGATTTTAGAAATTTCACCAGCGATGGCCTTACAAAATCCAAAACGACTGTTGAAAACGATCGCTTTTAAGCACAAGGGGCTATCCCGAAAATGCTGTTTTGAGAAAATCAAAGGTAAAGTTTTTGGATCCTTATTAGAGACAAGGAAAGTTTTCTCTATAATCAAACAAATATATATGCCAAAGAAACCAAACTTCTCCTATAGGTAGGGCAATGTCCACTTTTGGTGTAGGTCAAGATTTCGGGAAACCCCCAAAACCTGGGTTTGCCCGCTTGTCCTTAAACGCAACCAAATGTTCTTACTGCATAAAGTCAGCAGGAGAAGAGTCAAAAGCAGGAGGCGAATGTTGGCTCTCGACAGATGATCCTCTCTTTGTGTCTGAAGATCAGCAAAGAAATAACACATTATACAATAACACGAAACATTTTAAATCTGCCTGGTTATTCTCTATGGTACCTATATTTCTTTGAGAGAGTGAAATGAAGGCTATAAAATATATTAGTAGGCCTATAGGTAACATGCTTTTGCAAACATTTCTAAAAATATTCAATTCAAGTCGCAAACTGACTATCTCAAGCAGCTACAGTGCTATATATAATACTTGTTCAGGGAGAATCACAAGGGGCTGCGAGAATGTGTGGGTGCTGTGCACAGTGCTGTGTTATGAAGATTATTAGTACAGCCAGTGTGGACAATGGGAATAAGCATGGAAATAAAAAAAAAACTTATGTCTTCCTTCATTCTTACTGGACTAGTTACTTAGCTGAACTAGACCAGCAAGTACAAAGTAGTTTGATGGAGAAATGAGTGTCTAATAATATTTTACGTTCCAACCTTCATTTTATTCGTCGATGCACATTCAAGGCTAAGTCGATGCACAAATAACTTTTCTACCTAAATTAATCCATTTAAATTGAAAAGAGCAAAGTTTGACAAAGCAAATCCACAGATGACAAAGAGAGAGGAAGATAAGGAAGCACATATGTAATCTTGTGAAATCTATTCTTCATTTAATGAATATCAGCCCATGACAAACATCTGGTTGAAGACAAAAGTTTTGTGTCCAAATAAGTTGGCTGACTTGTTAGCACAAAGAGCTCGCCTGCGAAGATACTAGAGGGGACAATATAAATTAAGAAGGTGAACTGGACAATGGGAGACAATGTCTGTGCAGTGCAAGGTTTCTTAATTTTTAATATTCTTGTAAACCCTGACAGCTGTTATTCATACGAGATTCTTCAGTAAGAATGTGAAACCTATATCTGTGTTTGAACGATCAGCTACAAACAGTATTGCATCTTAACTCACTTCAGACGGGTCACACAACAGTTGCGTGACCCCCGCCATGACGCTCGCGTCGGGTCTCACAAGCCCTGCGTGACCAACTTTGGAATTTTTTTTTCGCTCTACAAATCACGCACGGATCGCGAGACCCGCCTCGTACCCTTGTTTGGCCAAGCCTGAGCTACTTAGACTTCGTTTCGTATCTCTGGGGCCGGTAGTTTTTAAGTTATTGAAGGTGAAGGACAGTGACCCCAACTGGGGTTGAACAGACCGGAACTCGCGCTTTGTTTTTTTCTATACAGCTCATAGTAATCCGACAGTCGCGGCGTAGTAACGGTCGAAGAAGTCGCATGAACAAGAATCACATAATTTCGCCGTTTTCTATACTTCTGTGCGTTTTACTAGTTCTAGTGTCTCAGAATATGATGTGTCTAATAGTTAGGATCCTGGATATGTACCCGAACACGGCCCGAGTCGCAGTTCTAGGGCTAGATCTAGCACTAGTACCGGTGTTGTTTTTCGCGCAACGAAATCACAACGTCGTGCCGTACATCTGTCTCATGTAATTCAGTGTATGGGTCTGAATCAATGCACAGACCAGCTTTTATATTTTCACCAAACACTTGCACATGTATACAAATCAAACCAGAACACTTTGAACTTTTATTTTTGTTGTTGCAGTGAATTTCATTCTACTTGTCACGTCTCTGGAAATTTTTCGAAAATCAAATTCATGCCAATTTTTAAAAAATCATACAAATTAAAGTATTAGACTTAGACAACTTTAGTTTTTTGTATTAGATTAAGCTTGAATGTTACTTTACTGTGTCAAAAAATGATTACAATAGGGTAATTCTGAGAGTTGTGGTGATTTATTGAAATACCCCCCAAAACGCCAGTCTTCAACGCTTGTGGCTGGTGAAAGAGCCCAGTCGCAAGTGAGTTAAACATGCTCAAAATTGAATTTGGGCCAAAACTAAACTGTCAGCAATTTTACCTGGTAAAGCTACAGGTTCCAGAGGCACAGGGCTGATGATTTGTTCTTGTTCTTCAGGCCATACAGGGAGTGTGCCTAGATTAATAGTCACGTTTTCACTCACAGACAGTCCATCGCCGAAAGTCCTGTCCATATCTGGCACAGATCGATGCTCGCTGAATAATAAAAAAAACAAAAAAAATATTTAAATTACTACTGATAACAGTTATGGTATAGAAAGCTTAACTCTTGCTCCACAGAGTCAAAACACGTGAAGAAACACATCTTAACCTTTTTGCATTACAACCATTGTAAAATGTTAGCTAAAAATGAAAGAAAAGCAAATTAAATCAGTAGAGCTTACCATTCAAGTTTTGAACAGTCCTTACTCGTTAAGTTACAAATATAATCCAATTCCCTTTGTCTCTACACTACATTACTGCTACCAGTAGGCCTGTCATCATTAGCATTGTTTCATCTTTCACAATTCAATCTAGATCTAGACTGAATTGAAGTAAATGCCTGAAACTCAAAACAGAGGTATCCAAATTCAAGTAAAAGGGAGCTTGAACATCTCAAACAAATCTGATTCATAGTAACGATCAGGCATATCATCATCAATTTTATCAACAGAACCATCTAAATCCAAAAGCATGACAAAACATTTTCCCCTCAAGGACACTGACATGTAACAAACTAAACAGCTAATGAGCAGTGGATGTCAGAACAAGACTTGTGAAAGAAAGAATAGCAGTGGTCTTTTGCGCACTGAATTGAACCTCTAGGCACACTATATATTATAGCAGATGCCCCTTGGTGATGAGCATAATCAAATCAGATCTGACCAATTTGATTAATGGCAGTGCCAGTGCACACTGCAACAAATTGATCTCTACATTGCTTCCTCAAATTTGAACGGAAATTCCATCAGGGCCTATTCCATATAATGCAAACAAAAGATCAAACGCTAAAATGGATGGCTGTTTTTATCAGATGTAACCAATTCTTACTTACCTTCCTTTTTTCTTCCGCTTTTTTAGTACCAGTGAGTGTCGCGAGGAGATACAGGCCTACAAAAACAAACATGTATTTGACCAAATTGTGCCAAAATAGTAGCCCTTGGCTGACCATGGTGGAAAAAACCTGACAAATCAAAAGGAGATCTGTCGAAACGAACTGCAGTGTTCATAGGTCATGTAATGGCATCATAAGCTCATGGTGACACCATATGTGCAGGCAACAGCTAAGGGTTGAGCTATATACAACACTCAAGCTGAAACCCCCCAAAAAATAGATGAGAGACTTCCCACGTAGAATGGAGGCACATACTCTCAAAACGGGTCACAAATTTACCTGGTGTGTGACTCATCACTTTGCTGGGCTACAAGAGAATGGCTTCTGTTATCCCCAGTAAAAGAAGAAGATCTGCCAGGCGCATCACGTCCTCTTTCAATAGACAACTGAGGAGGAAATTCAGCAAAAGTAATTTTTACAATATCTTGAAGGTGTGGTGGATAATGAAAAGAAAGTTGTTTACGGTGGTTAGAAAAGCTGAACATGATGTATTATTGAAAAGGATAGGAAAATAGACCAAATTTGAACTCATTGGGGCCCCTGTTCTCCCACTGTGGATAGCATGAATTTATTTTTCGTTTATGTAGTGTGGCTTCAAATAGCAGCTTATAACAAAATCACACTGTTACAGGGGAAAATCCACCTCGTTACTAGAATTAACTCGTTAAAGTCTCCAGACTTTCCCATTGTCATTATTTCGTAAACTTGTTTCAAATTTACAAGCTAACAAAGGTCCACTGAGGAGAGCACAGATAAGTCGCTTCAATTTCGGGTAGGAAGTACCAATAGCAGAAGTAAACAGATCAACAACATATTGACAGAAACCGCCATAAATTAAGCATTATTTTGTTGAAAAAGTCATTGGAGATCCCCTTGCATCAGGTCTTAAACTAAGATACTGCGTAAGTTTATAGAGCAAAAACTATGAAATACAACAAAAGAAAGAAAACTGACTAAAATGTTTGGGAAAACAAAAAAGAAATACAAAACCACCAAACAAAGGATAACAAAAACCAAATCATGACGAAATATAAAACTGACTAGAAAGGTCTAAAAGTTCAAAAGTAAGGCTGACACAGCCTTAACAAAGCAGATCAGATCATCCGAGAACCTCAGATCTTTTAGACAAGTGCTCTTCAGTTTCCTCCAAGTCTAGCTTTCGTTTCCTTCCTGTAGAAGTTGCTAAAAGTAAGGGAAAATGAATGCATGGTCATCGTAATATCAATAATGGTAGCAGGCAGATTGACCAAAATGAAACTGATCCACCATGAAATTCCAGCTGTGCGATGGCCTGCTTCTACATCATAAAATAAACCAAATGCACAAACAATTTTCAGGGATACGAAAGAGAAATCATTTATGCCTTAGTAAAGAAAAAAATATTCTCAGGAGTATTTTTAAACAATTTTTTTTAAAAATCAGAGATCAAGTGTTAATGTCAAATGGCACTTGAAGCATTCAGCCCCCCAGTCTGCCAGGCTTTAAAGCCTCTATCACGCCCTCTCATCTAGTGGTATAACAGTCAGTTATACAAGAAGGGAGCAAATCTGATGAATAAAATTAAGACGAATTTATACCGAATTTCTCCATGTTGACAATGATTCAAGTAATTAAGTATAATTATTTACGGCATGTAGTCACAGCTTTCACACAATAAGTATTGAGTGCATTCTTTGACAATAACACTACTGTAGAGTCACAAACCTGGGTGTAGTTGCAAGGAGCTTGAAATGCTGTCTGAATCTGTATCCGATTCGAAGTATCTCAATCTAAACTGGCAATTTTTCTTCCAAAGACCTTTCAGAATTGGGTGATCAAGACCTAATATTTAAAAAGAAATAAAGCACACACCAGTCAGTATTTGCTCATAAAAATAGAAGTTATCATAGCTTACATTACAAAAAAGACTTTTCTCTCCTTTGGAAACACCAAAAAGAAAACGGAGCAAAAAGACTTCCATGCAGGGGACAAGAAGGAAAATTTAATTTATACTGAAAGATGGGTACAGTGTTCGCATCTCATTCAATATGTCTCTGGTTCAAACCCTGACAGAGACCAAAAAAATTCTCCTTTCACCCCCTTTCTTTTTCTCTAATTGTATCCTGGCATCTGCTTTAATCTCCACTTTCTGCCCCCAACCCCCAGACTCCTGCATTCTTTCTATTGCTATTCCCTACTGCTGTTTTGCAGCCACCTGATCTTAAGGCAGGTGAACATCTAGCTTTCTCGGTTCTTTTGAGCCCACAGCAAAAAACTCCCCATTACCTCGAGATCCAGGCTGCTTCATTAAATCTCTTGGGGCGGGGCTCGGAAGAACCTGAGGAGATTCATATGTGTATATTGCACTGAACATTACTTGAAGCTTGATATTGTCAAAACGAACAAGTTTAATAAGGAAGTGTTGGTGATGTTATTGTACATCAATGTCGAAAAGAAGAGATGGTTTGAACACAACCTTTGTTATTCAATTTTTATAAAAGCTTAGTTAACCAGTCATCCGCAAAGAATCTTTGGCATTAGCAGCACATTAGCCTTGGTAGGTTCCATTGCCAAACAAAGGGGAGCAGGTAACATTAGACTATTCTTCCGTAAAGGGCCCTGTGATTTAAGACTGCTGCAAAAAACTTCCACGCACTCTTCTGAAAAACTAGTAATGCGGCATGGGCTCTATTATTTAATGTGGCATTGGTAGTCTAGTGGTTACGCTACCCAACTCCTAATCATAAGGTTGCCGGCTCGGGTGTTTGAGCCTCAGGCCTGACGATGTGTCCTTGGGAAAGGCATTTTACGCAATTTTCTTCGCTTCACCAAGGTGGAAATGGGTACCCGACCGTAGGCAACGAAAGATCTCGTCAGTATGTCAGTGTTTTAGTGCCAATAAAATGGTAACTTGCACTAAATGCTTCCCAGGAAGTTAAATTGAGATTGTTTCAGCATGCTATCAGGTCTGCTGGGGCAATAGTATAGATTGTAAAGCACATATTATTGAGCCTGCAGTTGAGTACGAATTTGCGCTACACAAATGCTATCTACTATTGTTAGAAGAACTGGTAAAAGTAGGCCTTATTATCACAAAGTGGAATAGATAACATTCTGCTCTTTTTACATTTTCAGGGAATCTGACAACGATTTTTTTAAAAAGGGGAATAGGTAACATATATTGGGATCTATGATTAAGTATGGCAGAACAAGTAAAATTAAGTCCTCTACTGTTATGAAAAGAGGAGAGTAGCATTACGCTTTATTGTGAAGTAACGGGAAAAAAGAAACATATAATTATGTAGCCCCCTCAGGGTGAACTGAAAACAACAGACTTTGTAACTAGGAAAACGAGATTAGGTTACACACTAAAGTCTGACAGGTTGACTTTGAAGTTATCATGTTCTGTTTGATGTCTCCACGGGTAATCTGCAGGGTCTCATCTATGACCAACTTGTGAGGACGGGGCTTCCTGATAGGACTGGGGCTCGGTGTAATTGTGGGAAGCTTAAAAGGAAGATTCTCAGCCCACTTGGGCTTGCGAGAGTGAGAAGTTTCAGGTACGGCCTCCTCCTCAGCAGGGGCCACAGGCTGCCTGTCTTCCCTTCCTTCGACAACAGCATGATGCGGCAAGTCAACTGTAGCTGTTTCATTTCTGAGCGGGGATGTTTCTGGAAATTTCATATCCAGAAAGTTTTAAATTACGTACAATACAAAATTGATTGGTTATTATATAGACACAAAGGTGTAACTGAAAAAAAAATTACTTGGAAATACTGATATTGAGTCTCCTCAATACAAGCGCGAAGACAATTTTGTTTCTTTGATTTCGCACAATTTTGCCAAGCCTTTAAAAAAGGTCAGTTTTGAGTGACCATACCTCAGGCAGATAAGATAATTATTACTGTGTCAGGTTATGCAAAATTTATTTAGCTTTAAATTGGTATGCTGCCTGACTGGGTAGTGCAAGGCTTTAACACAATGATTGCGGGATTACATTTTCAAGTTTATTTTGGACCCCACAGTACAGCTGACTAAATGTAGGGGGTGTGAACAAGAAGATAAACTCATCAGTGGTTCAACATAACCATCAGGGTCACAAAATCAATGTAAATAATAAAATCTTGTCCCCAGCTCATTTAAATTTGAACCCTGTATTGATTCTCTTGACTGAAAGAACATCTTAGATACTTACAATGAGTGGAGAAACTTAAATCAACAGTTTGAACATTTTGGTAGGATGGAGTGAACAAGGTAAAGTATTGCTGTCGCCCTACTTTTACTTTTACACAGTTGAGTGTTTTTTTAAAGTCACATTGAGTCAACAAAACAACAAATAACATGGGGCTCTTTATCACCTGCCACTTCTTGGTCCCCCTTTCTCTTCTTTGTCTTGTCCGTTGGAGAGTCATGACGTTTCACTCTCTTGGTCTTCCTTGGAGTCCTTGGCTCTGCATGAGGGTGGACAGCCGGGGTCTCCTCAAACACAGGCAAACGGGACTCACTTGAGGAATCAAGTGAAAACCAAGAAATTATGTAGCTTACCAAAAAACAATCTTTATCTTATACCTTTATTTGATTTAGTTCTGCATCTCCCCTTTAATTTCCTAAAAAAACTATCAGCGTTTTAACATTACTGCAGATTAGAAATCTATTTTCATATTACAATGGAAATCTATCATACCCTTAGTTCAAAGTAAATCGATGACTCCCACTTCAAGAAAATCTCGTCAGATAAGAATGTTTTCCATGTGTCCAGGTGTAATGTGCCAGCCATAAACAATATTAATCCTGGACTAGAATAAATCTTTGTGAGGTTTTCTTTTCTAGTCACTGTTTTTCCACCTAAACGTTTCCCTCATATTGGGACTTTTAAATTGGTAGTAAAATGACAAATGAATGCCTCTCCAAAGTCATCAGTACAGGATGAAAAAAAATAAAATAATATCTACTCCCTAGAGACATCAATTAGTAAAGTATTCCACTCAGGAAAAGGCAAAGGGAGGATAATATAAATCAGTTCTATCTGCATCTAAAAATAAACCATGATCAAAAGCTATACATCCATTGTAGAGAAGAAACTTTGTGAACAAAAGAACTAAAGAAAAACCACCATAAAGTGATAAGAATTCCATTGAAGAAACCTGCTAACAGATGTTATACATGTATCATACAAGTACAGTCAAACCCGCTTAATGTAACCCTGTCGTAACAGAATTCCCTCGCCCTCCCCTTGATAGATTCCTCTATAAAATGGAAACTTGCTCAACACAGAAAAGGAAAGAAAAATGTCCTGCATGTGGAGGGCATTTTAACCTGTCCAAGACAGAGAATGCTTTGCTCGCTCAGACCTGATTTTAATCACAACTCCCAAGTTTGGTTCCCCGTCTGTTCTAACCATGTACACCATGCCACCAGGCAAGGAACGGGGAAAGGAGTGTGGCTTAGGGATAGATCTAGCTGTTACCCCATCCATGTGAGCCCTGAGCGGAGCAGATGATCAGGGAGGTGGGGGTGTGAAATCTCACAGCTGCTCGTGAAAGTGCTTGCATGGTGCACTAACACAGAAACGTGAAAGACCAACCAAAGGTGTGAAATTAATTTGACCACTGCCTGCTACCCTGGGCCATTCAAAATAATCTGTTTTCTATATATATGAGAGTAGGGCATTCAACATACCCCCCCCCCCCTCCATACTTTAAAAAGTGATATAGCGTCAGTGAGGTGGCCCCCCAAATGCCTGACAAAATTGTAGATCTAATTGGCCCTCGCCATGAAATGATTGTGCACCCAAGGCATACACCATTTACCATCAGGTACCCAACAATGGCACAGTGTGTTATGAAAAGGTCTGTGAACAGAAATGCAACAAGGCAAGAATGTAAAAAAGAAACTTAGAAAACAAAAATGTAACAGGCAGCAGGATATATAGAAAAAATAAGTCTTCATAAGTTCCCACGTATTATTCATTACCTGTGAGAAACTTCTGGAAAAGAAGTCTCCGTTATAGGCAAAATTCTGGACACATCGTGGCTGGCTATTTCCATAACATCTTGTGTTTGACCTTCTGGGTGCTGTAGTAATGTCAGATCAGCAATGTCCAAATGGGGCAGATCTTCCTCACCAGGGATCTGGAGTCAAGGCAAACAATAAAGTATAATGAAAAGCATTCCTGAAAAACAAGGTCTATATGCTTCCCAAGATTTTTCTACGAAATGCCCAAGACTGAAGGTAGCAATGTACTGTTAGTGTTATATACAATGTAAAAACATATGTTCCCATTACAGAAATCACAGTTGCAGTTCTCTCCCCCACTCTAGTTAATCCTAATCTCCTAAAGTCTGAAATATAGCTAGAACTTTCCAGGCCTAAAACTTGGGACCAGTTAACTTCACCCCCAGCACAACCGTCAAATTTCTGCGGTTATATACCTTATTGAAAAAGCTTTCAGTATGTGAAGGGGAGAACTCTCTTAAAGACTCAGTAAGGTTTTGCCTGGTTAGTCTCAGACAATGAATGCCATAAGAAGCGATGTATTAACACAACACATAAAACACAATATGCCTACATCATCTCTGGAAAAGAAAAGTTAACTTTGAATTTTCATAAAACGAGTATTTGAATGTTGAAACAAAGTGTTTATTAACCTTACCATAGGATCAACAGGACTGCACACCTGCTCTTGAATTTGAATTTCCTTGGGATCAGAAACAGAATGAGGACTACCTATTTCCGCTGTGGAACAATTAGAATCATTCAAAACTAATGGGAAATGCGTGACATAAATCAAATGTCATGACATAAATCAAACGTCAGAGTCAACATCAACAGCTAAACTAAGGAAGTCTGAAAACTTTTTGGTCAAAACCAGTGCCACCTCACACACTGAATAAGGCCTATTATTTGTCTAAAACATGAATCCTCAATGATCTTTTAAAAATGAATTTTTAGTAGAATTGTAAAGCAAAGTCCAACACAATTTTTTCTGTAGGGGAAAGGGTGATTCCTGTGCTGAAGAAAGTGGGTCTAAATAAAGCGTATTGATCTGCTCGATATCAAGTTTCACATTAGTTTTTGAAAGCTGATAAACAGAGTACCACCTGGCTTGTTGGTCACCTCTCCATAGTGTCACTAGTACTAACAGCGACAATTACATGACACCCTTGCATTTGCCTAATATTTTTAACCTGCTCATAGTGGTCCCTATGCAACGCGGCCACAGTCAATAATTTTTACGATAAAACGGTCTCGAATAAAAGTTTTCCAACAACCAGTCTTCAGATTGAATGTGTATGTCTGTCAATGCAAAGAAGCAGATGAGCTCATCACCTGGCTAAACACTACCTATTAAACAAAAGTGGGTGGGATTTAGTGCAGCTACTCAGATCCTGTCAATGGCGGCTACCTGTCTAAAACAGTCACTTCACCGTGATCTTGAGTGACCATTACGTATGGGTTTGACACTATCATAAAAGATGATCAGCTATCATTTAAGAATGACTTCCACCATCACTAGTCTGTCAATCATTCTGATTTAAAACTCAAAAGATAAATTCTAATGAACTTCTCATCCTAGTTGGGTTAAAGTGGGGTTATCTCTAACTGTGTGTGCATTATGCAATATATATTTTTCAATGGTTGGAATAGAACGAGACGATACAAAAAGTGAAAAAAAGACCTAAGATCAGTTACAATTTCACACATGCAGATGAAAGTACCGTTGTCAAGATCTGGAGAACGAATATACCTTTTTTTAATACCCATCTTATAAAATCTTAATAGCGGATAATCATACATACAATAATACATAATAACATCTATTTTTTTAAAGTAAATTATTTTAATAAAATACATGCCGGATGTTAGTTTCCGCATCTACATACTGCAGTAACATAATTTCAGTACAACATCATCTTATCTCACACATCACATACATAATCTGAGGTTAAATCTGAGTAAACATTGTAATTGATTTAAGAAAAATAGAAACAACAACATACAAAAAGCTACCTTGTATCTTTACAGGATTTGGTATTGGTGAAAGGGGAACATATTTTTCACAGAAACTATTGTCCCATTGTTCCTGAAAGAGAGACATGCACAAAGAGAACTTAATGTGTATTTAGGAAACTTGTTTCATTTCTAGTTCTTTTGTATGTTTTTTTTTCACGCCAAAAATTTAATCTTTCAGGGAGATCACCTGAAGCAACTGGTAAACTTTATTAAGTCCAAACATGTTCATGATTTATCTTTGATCTTAGTTAAAGTACAAAGTAAGCAATCCGTTCATCAGCGTGTTTTTGATTTTGTTCTACAAATTATTCTTTACTCAAAAAAAAAAAATCATCATTAAAAAGTTATATAAATAGCTTTTATTGTACACAAAAAATTACATGCAAAATTTGTATATCACCAACCTTACAAAAGAGAAACTGAAACCAGAAAAATCAATTTAAATATGTGCGCTTTGAAGGCTACTCAACAAAGACAGTATAAACAGAACATATGTGGCCTCCAGAACTTTATTTTAGTGTCATTCTTCAAATGTCAAAAAGCGTAACAAAATGACTGAAAGAATAAGATCAAGTACCAGAGATAGATGTCCTGAAACTTGAAAAATGTATTCAATTTCAACAGAGGAACATCAAGCAAACAATTGCCTTCTCGAAATTGAGAAACCAAACTACTCCCCCAAAACAAAAAAATTACATTATTTCAACCACCCCCACCCTCACTCTAGAAATTGTAGAACAGGTAAAAACGAATAATTCAGCAGAATTACATGAAATTTCGCTTTAGGGGGTCAAACTTGTAAAGACTACATCTAGAGGCTCTTCTTTTTCTTTGTTTTTGTAACTAGAAATAGTTCCTTTGGTGTCAACCACGCCCGAAGCAAAATGAATTCTCAATAAACATATGTGATGCATTGTGGAGAAATCAGGCGCTCGTCAAAACAATTAAATTAAAAAGAAACCGTCATTTTTTCATTGGTTTGGCAATTTTTATTGAATTTTTGTTTTTTCGGCTCAACATCTTTTATGTCAATTTAAAAACACATTTCAGCGTGGATTTTACTGAAAAACATTGGTTAAAGGCACACAAGTGTAAATGTTCAGTTTCCAGGGACTCTCAAGCGATGAAGTCACTAAACTTTGGCGGCCATTTCCTCCCTAATTTTACCTCTGAAACTAGATGATCCCCACCTCATTCAATCGTAAATATATCATGACTTCTATTCAAGACAGATGTGGTATTTTTCTTGAAAGATAGACAAATGGACAAGCTTTAAATCGATACCAATCACTCCACATGTCCAAAACCTGACGAGCGCTTGGTTCCACCGTATCGTGACACATAAGCATTCTTTGAGAAACAAAAACAATTTTTTTAAAAAATTCTGAAACGCAAACAGGACCACCACAATACCAAGATGGTTTCAACATCGACGTCAGGTTCTTTGCACAGTCCAAAAAAGATGTTATAATTTTTGTCTTTGATGCTAGATGGCACTAAGCATTCTAGTGTGGTGGGCTCATGCCTGAGATTAGAATAGACAAACAATTTATTGGTACACAAAGAGCTATAGAATGCACTTTAGACAAAAAAAAGTTATGAGGTGACGAAATGTCTATAATTCTAAGTTTAACTAACGCTCTTTTCTTTAAAAAGATATGATTAAAAGGTTAAAAGTTGATGAACTTTTCCTTGTGCCCCGACTAAAAACCCTATACAAGTACAAAAAAAGAAAATTCATGAAGTTTTAGGGTTTTTTAAAAATTAGTATTAGTATTAGATCTATTAGATGTTTTAAGGCGCTCGCAACTGCATAAGGTCAAATGAGCCAATGGTTGGATGTCAACAGAGAAGTCCTTACAGGGAATCAGACGTTTTTCTGCCCGCACCTCTCTAGCTTCAACAGCACAAAGTCTGCTTCGACTATCAAGGCACCACGGAAATAGCGGGTCACTATAATTTATTATAGAGTGCGACAATTAATACTAAAGAAATAAAGGTAAAATGACGATAGTCAGGATTAGGAAAGATAAAGGAGCAGTTCCCTGTTGCATTTCAGGCACAGTTACGAGAATGACATTGATGAAACAGCCCATTTACAATTGGCTATTGTTAGGGGACCGTACGCCCCCATAGTGTTTGGCACTTGGGGACCGTACGTCCTACCTGCGCTGAGGCGTGGTGTTACGGGGCCGTACGCAGATATGCATGCATCTGGACTTTGCAAAAATACTGGAGGAAAACGGCCAGTTTAACGAAGCTCCTGACGTAATGAGTTATTACTAGGAGAATGTTAAAAATATCTGAATACGATTGTGAGGTATCCAGTGGCCGTGGGTGAACCAGAATTTGAAATTTACTCTCGTCTGCACCCACGTTGTTGTTATGTGTCAATAAAAGAAATCAAAGACAGGGAGGGGGAGAGAGAGAGAGAGAGAGAGAGAGAGAGAGAGAGAGGTAGGTGGAAAGAGTTGGCGAAGGGAATGTTGGGGCGAACGATGGGGTCGGCAGGGTATAATTATGCTATTAGATTGAGAAGAGATCATTAATCATGTAACGCCTTGTGTGGAATATGAGTTAGGGTACAAATTAAATTCATAGTATAGATCTACCAACTTACGCCTATAGTGGGGTCAAAAATGCACGGCGCAACTTTTTGTGAAATATCTCCTTACCTATCGAACATAGATTCTCCAACTTTTGCACAGTGACTTATATCAATTTGTCTTAACAGGTGAATATTTTTTCAAATTCCTGTATACTGTATTCTAGAAAAATCCTTATAAGTACTAATAAAAAATCCCAGTCGATTGTTTCTACAAATTAAAAAATAAATGTACAGCTCCGGCAATATCGCTTTTAAAAGCAAGTCTGTCATTTTTTTCAAATCGCAATAGCATGCATGCTTATTGAACGTATGTTTAGGAAACCTTTAGTGTAAAAATAATGTGTTCATTATAAAAACATTTTTGTATGAAGTTTTGCCACTAAAATGTGTCATTGGCGAGCTATGACGTAGGCCATATGCGTATGCAAAATGTGTGCGAGAAGCGGGAAGTGCTATGAACAATCACATTTTTCGCGTGTTGGAGATTTATAAGCCTAGTATTTTATATAAATTTAAGAACATTTTTTTAAATCGAGCCTCAATTGTTGTGGAAAAATATGATCCAGTTAAGACATTTTTTTAAATACAAACTGCTGTGCAAAGTATGGGTGACATTGATTCTCCCGTTAAAGAGATATTTGAGGAAAAGTTGCGCCACGAATATTTGACTGCACTATTGTTATACAACACCTGCGCGCAAAAGTAGTCCATTTATACTAATGTTGTTTTATTAGAATGTGGACAGGCGTATAATATGTAATGCGCTTGCAAATAAACTTTAATTCATCTGTGCTTAGTTCACTACCCGACGTTCTATCAAGTCTCAACAAAAGTTTGTTTTGCTTTTCATGAACCTCTTCCAAGCTGTCTTCTTTTTCCTTTCTTTTCATGTTATTGTTGTCACTGAATGTGAGTTGATCAGGCGTGCTCAGGCGTGTTCTCTCATGCAAAAGTGAGTAAATTTCCGGCGTTTACGAGCGTCATCAAATGGGGCTAAGGGGCCTATTTATTTTAGGTCGCAAAGCTTAAAAATGTACTCACGTCTGCCCGCAGAATGCACCTGAGCACACACACTATTATCTTACTCACTTTTGTCCAAAACATTCCCTTTGTGTAAATTTGTTCATCTCTCTCTTTCTCTCACGACCCCCCCCCCCCCCCCCAATCTCTCTCTCTCTCTCTCTCTCTCTCTCTCTAACACACACACACACAGACACACACACACTTTGTCTTCCTCTCTCTCTCTCTCTCTCTCTCTCCCGCTCCTTCTTACTTTCTTTCTTTCTCACTCCCTGTCTGTCTGTTTTTCACACTCACGCACACACACACGCACACACTCACTCTTTCTCTCTCTTTCTCTCCCTCCCTCTCTTTGATTTCTGTTGTTGACACATAACAACAACGTGGGTGCAGACGTGAGCAAATTTCAAATTTTGGTTCACTCATGGCCACTGGATACCTCACAATCGTATTTAGATATTTTAAACATTCTCCCTAGTAATAACTCCTTACGTCTGGAGCTTCGTTAAACTGGCCGTTTTCCTCCTGTATTTTTGCAAAGTCCAGATGCATGCATTATAATATTCATCTACGTACGGTTCCGTAACACCACGCCTAAGCGCAGGTAGGACGTACGGTCCCCTAGCGCCAAACACTATGGGGGCGTACGGTCCCCTAGCGCCAAGCGCTATTGGGGCGTACGGTCCCCTAACATCAGCCTTTACAATTACAACTCAACTGTGCATAAGAACTCGAGATGGGATGTCAATGCCCCCCCTTTGAGAATGGCCTAAAGACATTTCAGTCAGTAGCAGGAAGTGAAGTCACAGTTCTACTTATTAACGTTAAAAACAATGCAGTGTCTGAGCTTGGTAAATATTCAAAACCCATTGTATGTACTATATTATGTAACATTCGCTGCAAAAGCAAAAAGCATTTATAAAAGCAATGTATTTATTTTATTTCACAGCATTCGGATATTCATAAACTTACCTCAGAACAACGAGATCAATTTCTCTTGCACGTGGAATCTCAGGACAACATTTTCGGAACAAAACCCAGGAATCAGCTAAGGATACAAACATAAAATAAAAATTGATTAATAAAGGGTGTCCTGATTTTGGTGCCGATATTTGTATAAATGTCTTGAAACGGAACAAATTGTTGTTTCAAGAAGAACAAAACAAGAAAAAAGGAGAATTGTTTAGTCGGTGGTGATGATGATGATTTTTTTTTTTGGTTTTCTTAATGGGCCTGACGGACTTCACGAAGAAATCTTCGAGCGAGAGCTCCATTGTCAATATGCTTATGATGGTGATGGTGGTGGTTATGATGTGCACGTTATTCTTAGTGTTAAAGTGAATTTTATTATTTTGTTTTGCGCTTACTCTAGATCCCCCTCAGGCTGTTTTTGTTTTTGTTTGTTTTGTGTTGTTTTTTGGTGGTTTTTTGTTTTTGTTGGGGGGGGGGGGGGGGGGGCAGGACACGACCCTCAGTCCCAACACTTCGCATAAAGTGACCAGAAATTAGAAAATAAGTCATCATCTTCATTCCTAATATTAAAATGTAATAAAGATGTGCCGAAAAATCACATGGGTGCCGCATGACATTGTTAATGTGTTGGTTGCCCTACATCTATACTATCATATTTTGAAAACAGCGAAAGGAGTGAGGCCAATAACCTTTGTAGTCAATGCAGTTGTGTTTCGTAACAAAAGATTAACACGTCCAGGCATAACAAATTATCGCTGTTGGCATTTGTCACCGATCCCGAGGCTCTTCTGTGATCGTCGGAGCATGTAAGAGCCTGATTAACCATGCTCAGTCGACCAGAAAATTCACCCATAAATATATATACACATAAAAAGCAATACATAGAGTGAGAAATTGCTTTTAAAACGTCAAAAAAAATTGTTTTAATGTGTCCTCAAAAAGGTTTCAGCCCTGATTTTTTTCTCAACACAATCGAGCAAGGTTTCACACTTGTATAAGAGAGCTAGTCTTTTGATTTGAGCTGACTATAAATTGTCTTTCCCCTGTACAAGGTAGTGTCTACGTTCTCTAACGTTAGAGGGCGTACACAAGCTGTCTACGTTTTCTAATGCTCAGTGCTTCCAAGCGTGGCATCGAATCCCGGTCCCGGAAACTTTTTTAGGGGGGGGGGGGGGGGGTTCCCCCTCTCGTTCTCCTTACTGACCAACAATTTGCTTCCGGATCCCCAACCAGGGCGAATAGTGATGGCAGGAGGAACAATTGGCAAGGGTCTGGGGGCCGCGGGAGGGCTCTGGATAAAGAAAATTTGCAATTGAAGAGCTAAGATTTGGCCTCTCTGATTCTAAAATAAATTTTAGAAATTAGACTCATTGACCAAGGAAAGCCACTGTTGAAAAAATACTCCAACCAGGCATAAATTAGTAAAAGGAAAAGTAGGCCTATACTTAGTAGATAAAAGCTCCTCTTGGAGACAAAACCAGAAAGTGCATGCTTCACCACTACATAAGAAATTATAAAGCAACAAATTATAATTATGGGGAAAATTGTTGGTCAGTCGGGAAGAGGAAAAGAAGAAAAAAAAACCCAACTAAAAAATACAACAAAAAAAGAACTTCCGGGACCGGGATTCGAACCCACACTCATAAAGTAATTGTATCACTTCAAGCGCAGATACGCTGACCATTCGGCTATCAGAACGTCCAACAACCAGAGGTAGATCAAGCTTAATATATACAGCACTGTTTCGGGAAAGGCAACAACATAGATCAAGATATAGACATCTAGTTTTCTACAACAAAGTGAGTGAGTCGGAAATGGAGATGGGGGGGGGGGGGGGGTGTATCAATGAGGTGGCGGGCATCGGGTCGGTAGATGAGGTCTGGAGGAATTTTTTTTTTTTAATGCTGAATGTTAGAGAACGTAGACACTTCCCCTCTACAATGAGTGACTGTGTCTATATATAGGTAATAGGCCTACGATCCAAAATCTTTATTGGATAATATCTGCTCTACTTCCCAAGACAACATGAAATCCCCACCAGGCATTTCTCAATACATGTATTATACTATCCAAGATGCCCACCTGTCTATGACAACCACTTTTATCTACTTGGACAATTTCAAATATAAGAGTCTTAAAAAAATTAAACTAGCTAGATTTTGTGCGTCCGACCTTGGGACTGTTTGCATCCGGGGCTGGTGATAAAATTTTCTTTTGTAAACTTTTTGAAAACTACGTCTTAATGTAAAAATATCAAATTCGGAACCAGCGTATCAAAATCAACAAAACGACTTTTTCTTGCTGAATTTTAAAGATCATAAAAAAAGTATTTTTGCTGAGATTGCAACATGTATCATATTCTTATCACAAAGAGGATAGACAACTGTCAGTTTTAACTCAACGTCGGTCTTTTCTAAGCCATTGTGCAAGATGCTGTACCACCTCCCCTTGCTAACCCCATGGGCACACAAAACCTTAGCTATAATATTAAATGTATACACACTTGCCTGTGACCTGCATGTTCGACCTTTCATAAGCTGTTACCCCAGCCTTTTTTTCTCTCCTTTAATCACATAATGATGGCATATATTATATTTTGATGAGACAGACATGCCTATCTACTCTGACCTGTTTCACTTTTTTTCAGCATTTATTAGCCTCATTCAGTTCGAGCCATCACAGCCAGCAAAATCAATTGTTATCCCCCCCTCCCTTCTTTTTTAAAGAAATCATTTCTACAAAATGCCCGAATTGGGTAAATATAATCGATATATTAAGAACTCTGTTGTGCTGTTGGTAGTTAAGAAAAGAATCGAGTGCAGAACTACTGACCTAACAAATAGTCTGACTGTTTCTGCAGTATTCTCACGGTGCCAATCATGAGCTGGGATGACAGGTACAGGGAAAACCGCTTGTGTCGGTGGAATTTATCTCCAGCATGTCCACCGTGTGCAGGGAAGTGAGCCAAGATATCTGAGCTATTGACAGAGCAAGATTTTTTTAAAAATATTATAGGCCTATGTCCATAATCATGCACATTACCAAGTCAGTCTAAAATTGGGGATTAAAAGTTGAAATGTTTCAAATTAAATTGAAATGTTTTAAAGAACGAAGTATCCAAAACTGAAGAATCATGGAAAGGTCGAATCAATAATCCGACGTCAATTGCAACAAAAAGTTAGTAATCTAATGTAAGTGTTAGGTCCTTTACCAATAAATTAAGTATCATTGGGCAGATGTTCAGTAGATCTTGCTTTTTTATTTATTGGAGTTAATTAATCTATCTTAATGGTATCGGTTGCACTTACATTATATTATTATGTCCATGTGCTCAAGAGATATTTAGCTTAAAGTCAAAATTCAAATTCTAAATGTTAAAGAAAGCAAAGAAGACATGATATACATACACACAGGCCAACATGAATAAGGTAGGCCAACAATTGTTAAAAGAATTAAAGTCTCTCTCTCCTGAAAAAAAATTGTTTTCTGGGCTTAAGAACACTTAGAGCAGCTGGCCAATGATGTCATTATTTTATGTAAATGGTTTTTATAAATAAACAAAAAGTGGGTAAGTAAGGGCATGCAAATTAAAAACAGTTTTTGTTTATTCTTCAATGATTTATGTAAAATAATCTGTGAACATTCACTTCCGGGTTCCAAGCACCCCCTCCCCCAACCCTCTGATTTCTCTCTCACTCGCGTTTATTCATGCCCTGAGCTATCGAGTCAATATTACAGACTTTCGCTCGCACGTGTGTAGGTCTTTACACTAGTAAATTACATCTAATTCGGTCATGATGGCAACCGTGTAAAGCTTTTTGTGTCTGCTTGCCTTTTGTGAATTATGAAGCATTTTTAGCGCGTTTTATTCTTGTCCCAGAACCATATCAATAATATAGGCTACTCAGTTCAAGTTACAGAAAACTCGAAGAGCTTCCACATAGCCTACAATACAATAATTCTCAAACGTGTAAACTTGCAGTCCTAGAAAGTAAAGGGTGAGACACAGCGCTGTTACATTACCTAGCATACATAGAAATAAAAGTACAGAAATTGGCAGGTGGCCTCTTGATTAACGGACAAAGAGACATACCAAACAACTTTTATATTGACCGAATACAGCTCCCTCTTGCTCAATACCTTCGACTGTGTTGCGGACAGCCTGTGGATTAGAACAATACAAGAAAGCAAAATGTCAATAGCTCACAAAGTTTTTTGTTTAGACTTATAGGTTAAGGTTTTACGGTGCTCGCAACTGTATAAGGTCATATCTAGCATCTGCGTTTGTTGCCATTTTTTTTGTCCAAAAGATGCCATTCAATTTCAAGCTTTCAACTCTCTGTGACGACGTAGATCTATAGCAATATATGTTGATAGAGATAACTTAATCTAAAGCACCAGAATTTCTTGTGCTCTGTTTTAAGCATCCAGAATAGGCCTATCATTTGGAGCCACACGGAGTGTAAAAACTTGAAAAAATAATGGGTTCACAACAAAATGAAATCAAAATTAGAACAGCACATAAACAGCCACAAAAACTAACCTGTAATTGCGTGTTTCCACCTTTCATAAGATTGGCCGTTTTAACACTAAACGTGTGTAATCTAGATTCTAATTCTAGAAAAAAGTACATAGATCTAGATCTAATCTAGATTCTAGATCTAGATCTAGAGTCTAGATCTAGATTTAGAATCTAGACGTCTAGATCTAAATCTAGATCTAGATCTAGATTTCTAGATATAGATCTAGATCTAGATCTAGATCTATATGTCTAGATTCAATATCTAGAGTGTAGATATAATATCTGTGTTGGGGTGCATTCATTTAGAACTGCAATTCCTCTTGGGAAGGGGAGTGCTTAGATCTAGAATCTAGATTATTAGAATCTAGGCTGCGCGTCTGCGTTTGAAGTCAAACCATTAGATCTATCTAGAATCTACATTTAGATTCTAGATCTAGATCTAGGCTAGGCTAGGCTGTGGGTCTTGATTTTATAGATGACAAGTTTTATTAGCAAGCCCCCCTGAAACCCCCCTACTCTTGGGGCCAAAACCCGTGAATAACAATTGCGGGGTGGGAACTAGATCTAGATTCTAGGCCTACCGAAAAAGCGCCGAAACCTTTGCACCTCACCTAAAGGAATCGAAGAATCGAAATTTTGTCAAAGTAAAATAAGATTCAGAGTAGATCTATCTAGATCTAGATCTAGATCTATCTAGATCTATATCTAGATCTAGAATCTAGGCTACTCACCATATCAAGCCAAATCTTCCATTTTTCTTCAAGTATGTGTGACTGTAGAACATTGTACAAGACTGGGCGAGACTGGACTAACCACTAGATCTAGATAGGCCAATCAGTCTAGTCTATAAGATTATTCTATTGTAGGCCTATAGGTTTAGTATCAATATCTAGATCTATGAGCTCAGCTGCCTGAGTGCCTGAGCCTTCTTTTTTTTTCAAATTTCCCGCTCACGGGAGTTTCAGCCAAAGAAATCGCCCAACACAAAAAGTGACGAACCCCGGGGGACCCCCATTCGTATTTTTTGGCACAAAATAGGCTAGGCCATATTCAAGGTTGCCAGATATATCTAATCTGTGAAGCAGCGTTGTAAAAATGAATACTAGGCCTAGACTAGGCCTTGATAATAGCCTGGACTTGAATTATGTTATAATATCAGTCTATATATAGGCTAAGATCTAATGATTCTAAATCGAATCCTTGAAATTGTAATAGCACAGACAATGACAGTAACAACAACAACAGCAACAACAACAACAACAACAACACAATCACAACAGTGATACAACAACAACAAAACGGTGAGGCATTATAAGGTAAATATTGCTAATCAATTAATGATTCCGATAGGTCTTGGCAGACGAGTTCGAGGTTAGGGTAGGCCTAAATTATAATGAATCTTTGAAAACCTGTACGGGGGTAGTCATAATATCCCACAGTAAGGCTAGAACTAAAAGGCTTACAAATAGTATTATTTATAACCGCTTTGCTTTTACCAATTTTACCCAACACTAATAATGGTTGCGAAATAAAACTTCAAACTGGCACTGGCAACGTGATGACTTAGGAGTGACTCCGTCGTTCCATCACGTTATAAAAGTCTTCTCATTCAAAATTCAAAACGGTCGTCGTTCTGGGATCGAAACCTCGCAGATGTGAAAAAAAATTCTAACGTTTTCCTTTTTCACCACCTTTCCTCCAGACCTCTCTGTCATTTGCTGTCTTCTACACTTACTCCTCGGGGGGGGGGCTGGTTTATAAACCTATCTCGGTAACTATAACCTTTCAGATAAAGCCTTATGGCTTGGAGGTGTAACAGCTAAGCATATCTCTAAAATGTAACTTTAATTTATGTTTGTTTGTTTAAGTCTAATGTTACTGCATGGTAACGGCGCCCATATTGAAACTTAACAACTTTCAGAAAAGTAAAGAGGATTTTTAAAAATTAATTTCACCTACCAAATTTTGTACATTAGTAGATATACTCAATATAAAATAATATACATTTGGGATCTTGGATATCTTGATTAGGAAAAAAAGTTAGAGATGGATAACTGGCCTACCCCTTCATGTCTCTGAATTCGATTGCATAATCATACATATAACTCACTTTGGAAACCATCGATTTGATTTTCCACCTGTATAAAGTTAGGTTATGGTGTGAATAACAAGCACTGAAAACTTCATTGGAATCAAATACATGTAGAAAATTTTAAAAAGTAGATGCCAAAAACTATCAAAAATTTAAGTTTTGAGAAAAAAACACACATATTGTTACATAATAGGCACAATAAAAGTTCTAGGACAGAAAATCTGAAAGATGATGATTGTAACACAAAGAGTAAGCATTTTGTTTATTTTCAAGTGGTTGGAGTCCTGATCTTATACGGGGTGCCCATTGGGGGATCGGGTGAGGTCGAGTCTGGTCGGGCCAGTATGATCGCCAGCCTCGTCGGTTAAAAACAAACGCGTTCTAAATGAGTTTGTTTTTGGGTCGACGAGTCGGACGTGATTGGTGTATGCCATGATAGTCGCTTTGCGCCCTCAATCTGGCTAGCAAACCGCCCCGACCAGACCCGATCCCCCAAATGGGGACCCGTAATAGGGTAGGCTAGGTAGGGTCGAACCCAAGATTGAAGGATACCCGTATGTTTGCTTCCCCTCCCCCCCCCCCCCCTTTTTTTCACAACACAACACACTCACAAACACACATAGAGCACAAGGGAATATAAAATGGCCCCCTTCCACTAAAAAAACTTATATAATGATAATGTTAAGGAGCTAATTTATGGTAGTCTAAAGAAGCATAGAACCAAGTTGATACCCCCCCCCCCCCCCCCCCAACCTCCTCCCCAACCAGGGAAGTGCTACTGACTGAAGTTGTCTCTATGCCATTCCCAAAGTGGGGTGTAACATGTTCTTATGCACAGTTTGTAAATGGACTGATTTATCAATGCCATGCTCATACTGTGCCGGAACAACATATAGGAGGAACTGCTGCTTTTTCTTTCCTCATCCTTACTATTGTAATTTTCCTCTACTTTTTTGTTTGTTTGTCACTCTCTTGTGAACTGCTATTTCCGGGGTGCCTTAATTGATGGTTGCAGCAGACTTTCTGCTGCTGAGGCTAGAGAAGTGAGCAGAGTAAGTCTGGTTCCCCGTTTAGACTTCTCTGTTGACATCCGCCTCTTGGTGCTCATATGACATAATTTTATGCAGTTGCGAGCGCCGTAAAACCGTGATAAAACAAAACAAACCAGCTGATATCACACCACTGACGCTGTACCAAGCAGACCAAGTCTAGGTTGAGTCCGAAACAAAAGGCCTACAATACACTTACGACATTCGCATTGAATAAAGCAAGCACACAACAATTTCCAATCATAATTTTTAAGGCACTGTTTTGAGCGAGAAACTAGGCTATGTCAAATACTATTAATACTAATTTTAGAACACAGACCCGGGCTGGGGTGAGAACGGAGAAGGGGAAGAAGGGAGGGGGGAAGGGGCGGTGCGGTCCAGACTTGCACCTAGGTGCCTCTCGCAAGTCAGCCCTCGACTCTCAACTCTCACCTCCGATAAAATTCTGTTATATAATGTAGGTAGTCCTTTGTTGCCGAAGATGACGATGAAATCCTGCAGCTCATCTGTGGAAGCGCATGAAGCTGTGCAATCCAATCCTGGATGTACTATGTCTGTCGCAGTGGGGACACTGGAATGTCGTGGTTGGGGTGCTTGGATTATGCCTTCTCTTTCTTCTGACAGTCAGCTTCTCCCTGTATTTTGTGTCGCTGTTTCTGCTGGCAAGACGAACGAACCTGCGCCTGGTGTTCCTTTCGGTTACAGTTCTTTTGAGTTCTTTGGGGGTTACCTGTGCAAACTGGAGTTTTCCTTTATCGTGTCTTTAAACCGCTTTTTTGGTCTCCCGAGATTTCTTTTGCCACTTGCGAGTTCCCCGTACAGCAGTTGTTTGGGCATAAGGTGGTCTTCCATGCGGATGACATGACCGACCCATATCAGTTGGGCTTTCACAAGCATGCTTACTATGCTTTGTGAGCTTGATCGGTTGAAGAACTCAATGTTGGTGATGCGGTCTTGCCTCCGGAGACCGAGTATGCTGCGGAGAGCCCTTTGATGGAACTGCTCTAATTTTTTGGTGTGCTTCCTGTAGAGTGTCCAGGTCTACAAACCGTAGAGGAGGGAGGAGAGCACAACGGCTTGGTACACTTTGACTTTTGTTGACAGCCAGACATTGTGCTGTTTTTTTTAGTACATAGTTTCTCAGTCTACCGAGAGCTTGGCTGGCTTTGCCGATTCTTGAATCAATTCCCTGATCGATTGAGCCGTCTGCAAAGCTGATACTTCCAAGGTATGTTCTTCAGGCTGTTGCCATTGATAGTAATGTTTGGGGACAGTGGATTAGTTTGTGGGGCAGGCTGGTGAAGAACTTCAGTTTTCCCAATGCTTATTGTAAGTCCAAAAAGCTTTGAGGCTTCTGCGGAGTGATTGAGCATTGTTTGCAAGTCCGCTTCGGAGTGAGCATTCAAGGAGTAGTCATCGGCGAAGAGCGCCTCCTGAAGGAGTTTTGTGCTGATTTTTGTCTTGGCTTTCAGACGATGTAGATCAAAAAGAGAGCTATCTAGTCGATAATTTAGATATATTCCCTTGTCAAGATCCTTGCAGGCGTGGGAAAGCATGGCAGTGAAGAATATATTGAAAAGGACTGGTGCCAGGACACAGCCTTGTTCTACGCCATTTGTAATTTCGAATTCGTCAGTTATGTTGCCACTTGCAGGAACTTGCCCACTCATGCCTATGGGGAAGAGTTGGATGATCTTTAGGAACTTGAGAGGGCAGCCAATCCGTTCTAGGACAGTCCACGAGGCTTCTCTGTTGACCGTGTGGAAAGCCTTGTAGGGTCAATAAAGACTGATTAAAGAGGCATATTCTGTTCTGTGCACTTTTCTTGAATTAGTTTCTTAACGAAGATCATGTCCACAGTGCTTCCCCCTGGCCTAAAGCCACACTGAGCCTCTGGTAGGATCTTTTCTGAGATGGTTATCAGTCTGTTTTGAGGATACCCTTGCAAATACTTTCCCTGCTATGGAGAGAACGGAGATGCCCCTGTAGTTTCCGCAGTCCGCTTTACTGCATTTGTTCTTGTACAGCGCAACTATGATCGTGTCTTTGAAATCAGCAGGCATTTGCTCTTCTTCCCAGATACATGTATGTAGCAAGATGTCATGGAAGGTTTCCAGGGCTGAAGAAGGAGGAGACCATTTTCGTTGACTCTTCCCACTCCATGAGGCCCCAGAACATTCTCCCAACTGCTGTTATCTTTTCCAACGCGGGCACTGAAGTCACCTAGCAGGACGATCTTGTAGTTCTTTGGAGTGGATTGCATGATCTCGGTTAGCTGTTGGTAAAAGTGTTCCTTTGCGTATTCTGAGCTAATGAGTGTGGGGGCGTAAGCACTGATGATTGTGGCGTGTCTAAACTTGCTGAGGGGGACGAGTTTCATTAAGTGCTCGTAGATTCCGACTGGTAGAGCAGGAAGGCTCTTATGGAGAGCTGCTGATCTCCGTGAATTTGTTCCTCTGTCTGTGGTTTTCCTTTCCTAAAGTAGGTGCAGCCACCTCCTTATTCTTCCTTTAGTGAGCCCTCATCTGGAAGACGCGTCTCACTAAGTGCAGCGATGTCAATGTTGTAGTGTTGGAGTTATCTCTCCACAATGGCCGTTCTTCGTTCAGGTCTGTTGGTCTTATCTCTATAGAGGAGAGTTCTAACATTCCAGGATCCAAGGATTATCTTTCTTTTTCTTTGTTGTTGTTGTTATTTTCGACAGCAAAATGGGTGAGTCTGTCAGCCGCGGTAAACTGAACAGACTTTGAATGGCAGGCATTTGTTTGGGTCACCTTTTATAGACCCCTTCCACCTTGAGGGTGGGCAGTGCAGTCCTTGAGAGAGGCTGCCCAGTCGCCACTGAGTGCTGCCAAGAGATCCTGCTGTAAAGGTCAGGAGTCGGACGACCAAATGCCCAATTGCCGCCTGCGTGCAGGTTGTGACTATCACTGCCAGGGCTCACCTGCCTCTGTTACTTTCGCCACTTACCTATCGCCGCGGGGCTTTGGAGTGATAGTGTGGATTATGAAGATAGTGATGAGTGTAAATCGTTGCACGGTGGCAGTCCCACCCTCTCTGTCTAGGAAGCCTTCACCCAGTGGCACGAGGACCGTTACATCTGGAAACTGCCAGGCTGCAGTGGATGGCCAGAACTTCTTCGGCGCCTTGTCCATACCCTTATACGCACTCCACAGCACTTGCTAGTACCGCCTTCAAAACTGTTGGATCTTTTGTTGATCTCATCCGCTTCATCCGCCCGGAAACTAGTCTTCACGTGCTAAGGTAAGCAAACCTTGTTATAATATAAAAAGACTGGCCAAACCACCTACTCGCCGGGGGTGCTTTTTGGGGCCAGGTAAGGCTGTAGGAGGAAGTAAGCTGTGAACAGAACACCAAACACAACAATAGGTGTCTTAAAATTCAATTAACAATAAAGATATGAGCCATTATGACAGTACACGTACGTGTTAACTGACAGTGACCAGAGACATGTTTAACGATAAATATTACTCTAATGTACTGTTCTAGACAGTTTTGTCAATTGTAAGCAACAGAAGAGCCAAATTTGGCAAGAAAGGTGATCTTCATGCGGGCTCTTTCCACTCTGAGGGCAATTGCTCAATTCGTATGGTTGGGTGACGTCACCCCTGAGCGCGCGATACGAAGGCGCGCATCGTGACAGCAGCTGGTAACAACAACTACTTTGTGAGCCAGCGAGATAAACTAGGATTTAGGAACGAGTTTCTGTGGTGTGACAACACATCGGCGAACCCGTATTGTCTCTTAGGATCGTTTTTTTTTAACTAGAGGGAAAGTACTATGAATGTTGATATTAATTTGGATTGACTTGAAACTGAATAAGAATTATAATCAGCAGACCATCTCTTGTCCTCTACAGCTTACTTTAAGTGATCTGCTCCTCCGGCCTTGCCCAGTTAATGATCCGCGCTTGAGTACAGGATACATGATTTGAAATAGGAATGTGGCTGCTCTTTAAGGGGCCCTACGAAGTAGATAAACGGTCACACACGTAGAAATCGACTGCACTCACGGAGAGGTAAATGGTTGCACTGCAGGCTGAAGAACCAGCAGTCGTCCACCCCTGAGAACTAACAGGAGAAAGAAGAAGAAGAAGAAGAAGAAGAAGAAGAAGAAGAAGAAGAAGAGGAAGAAGAAGAAGAAGAAGAAGAAGAAGGAGAAGGA